TACATATCTATATTTTTACATCTATAAAAAGAAAGACACTTGCGAGACTTTTATCAGAGGTGTGAGCGTCACAGCAGAGGCCTCTGTGCTGAAGTAGCTGAGGATAAAACACAGAACAACATGAAGGCAGTTTTCCTGGCCTGGGTTACAGAGTTACAGAGGTTTAGAGACACAGCATTTTGCAATTCTGCATAATCTTAAAAAGTTTAAATTTGTTCAGTATTGAACAGCAGAAACGAGGCTTTCTTTTCGGAAGTAAGTAAAAAAAAGAAAGAAAAAAAAACAGTCTGCATGCCAAGTTTCCTTGGGTCAGATGCTACTGCCCAAATACAAGTTCAGTAAATATCTCCCTGCACTAGCTGCCTGTGACTAATCTAACATCCTCTAATTAAAAGAAACATAGATTTCAGTCAGCAGTTGTTTGGACAGTTATATAAAGCCACCAGCTACAGTCACAGACTTCTGCAACCATATAATTGAAGCTGTGGCCATTCCAGCATTATGTACAGTATATTGCAAGCAGGAAATACAACAGTAAGTACAGTACGTACAGTAAGTATAGAACACAGTTTTCCAAGTAAATATTTTTGTATTATATATTTGTAAAGGTGCTATTGATGTAAAATGTTGGTAACAACCCATCCAAAGAAATCAAATCCATAAATTAACTTATAATAATAAGAAATGAAACAGGGGGAAGTATTGAACACGTGAAGAAAGGGAGGTGCAAACAGGCAGGACAGTCATGACACCAGCAGAAATCTGTCAGAAATGAGAAAGTAAGGCTGGTTCAGTCCCAACTGATGGTCATTACCAACACGTCACACAAGAAACATCTCATGATGGCCAACAGGAAGACAGATGCAATTATTTTAAAGAAAACGATGAGCAGTGCACTCAACTAACATGGCCTGTACATGCGCTCACTCATGCAGGATCCATCGCACTTAGACAAGCCTGTGAGATACGGGGAGGATATAGTCTGGTCAGATCAGACCAAAACCGAACGCTTTGGATGCTGTAATGCACACGGTGGTTGGAGGTCAAAAGGCTCTCATCCCCAAAACACCGTACCAACAGTGACGTTTGGAGGTGTGAGGCTGTTGTTCAGCGTGCGACACTGGCACGTGTCATGATCAACGCTCCCTCTAATGTTTCACGTGTCTGAGCGAACACACAAACTCCCTGAGCGTCCCTTGGACCACTGTGAGCGGTGGTAAGACGTTTCTTGTAGTTGGTCTCTAGGTTTGCGGACATCTCAGCGAGAATCTGGCCCACTCCTCTTTATAGGAATGAAATCTTTCAGGTTTCTTGGCTGTCGCTTGGACACTTGAAGCTTCAGCT